CTGCCCGCACAGCCCCTGCCACTGCTCCTGCAGTAGCCTCCGGCACAGCCCGCTCATGCCACTCCTTGCATAGCTTCCGGATCAAACACACCGTGGACTGAGGCGTGGGCACCTGCCTCTCCCAAACCGCCTTATTGCGTGCTTTCCAGATCGCCCAAACCCCCGCGATGACTGAACGAAGTTCAAGCAATGAAAACCTATCAAACAGATGCATCATCCACGCATTGAAATACAGCCCTACAGGACTGCTATAAGAAATTCCAAGCTGATTCCAAACCATTTTCGAGAACGGGCAAACCACAAAAATATGATCAATATTTTCACCCGGAGTCCCACACAAGGGGCAAAGGTTGTCCAGGGCCATACCTTTAGAATTAAGAGAAGAGATGGTTGGAAGGATGTCCCGAAGAGCTCGCCACACACAGACCTTGAGCTTCGGTGCCACTGAAACCCGCCAAAGTTGACGCCACTTTGAAAAACCCGGACAGACCGTAAACTCCCCTACCGAACGCCGATAACCTTCTTTCACCGAATAAGCTCCCCGGGATGGCCCTTCCTAGTACCAGTTATCATCACTAATGGTGCCCAAAGGTAGTGCAAGAATGCGTTGCACATCAACAGGCAAGAACCATTCCCTCACCACTTCCTCCTTCCAATGACCCGAACCAGACTCAATCAGAAATTCCACTGGTAGATTGGGCATAAACGGTGGTCTCTCCGTAAGGATACAAGGTTGTTGAGAATCATTAAGCCAAGGACTACCCCATATCAGAGTGTCCCGACCATTACCCACCCTACGACGGATACCCTCCAAAAGCAGTGATTGTGACTCCAAAATACTTCGCCAACAAGAACTAGGATTAGCCCCCAAATGAGCCTCCAAAAAAGAAGACGTAGGAAAGTACCTTGCTTTAAAAACCCGAGAGACAAGTGCCTCAGGTCGGGTGAGAAACCTCCACCCCTGTTTTCCCAGCATCGCCACATTAAAAGCTCTCACCTGTTTAAAGCCCAAACCACCAAAATTCTTCGGTACTGCCATCCTTGTCCAAGACATCCAATGGATCCCTTTAGAATTCTGCCCTTTCCCACCCCACCAAAAGGAGTTCATAAGTTTTTCAATACTCTGACAAAGTTGAGATGGTAACAAAAAAAACACTCATAGCAAACTGAGGCATAGCTTGCGCAACTGTCTTCAGCAGAATTTCCTTTCCGGCCTTCGAGAGAAGTTTCTTTGCCCACCCACTCATCCGCACACGAATCTTTTCATGGATATATGAGAACATATTAGCTTTATTTCTTCCCAGGAAAGGGGGAAGACCTAGATATTTACCAAAATCGGAAGCTTGCTCCACATCAAAAAATTGAGATAAAAAGTCTCTTGTCGGAGTGGGGGTGTTGTGACTGAAACAAATGCTGGATTTTCTATAGTTAACAACCTGCCCGGACAACCTCTCATACTCCGATAAGCAACTCTTGACCACCACAGCCTCCTCCAGTGTTGCCTTAAAAAACAAAAGACTATCATCCGCAAAAAGAAGGTGCGAGACAGAGGGAGCTCCTCTAGCAACCCGAATCCCGTGGAGCACACCTTCACTGACCTTGTTCTGCAACATTAAGGATAAGCCCTCCGCACAAAGAATAAAAAGATAAGGGCTCAATGGGTGGCCCTGTCGCAGTCCCCTCGTAGGAAGGATCGGTTCTGAAAGATCACCATTAATAAGCACCTGGTACCGAATGGTGGAGACGCATAACATAACTAGGTTGATCCATTCCTCATCAAAGCCAAGTTTTCCCATCATAGTTCGCAGAAATGGCCACTCCATACAATCATAAATAATGTTTTCTAGGTTGATCTATGGTTTGTGCCGTTTCTTTGAGGTAAGGAAATTAAGAAATATTTCCACTAAATAGCAATTAAATTTAAGTCATTTTTATAAATAGTATTTAAATTGTTTTATTTCCTATATAGCACTTAATAATGTTCATTAGACCGGTGATGACAATTATTTACTTGAATAATGACTAATGAATAATGACTAAAAGTACTACATTGAGAAAAAACACATGTAGTATTCCTTAAGAAATTAATTATATTGGAGTGTGTATATAATTGAAATAAAAATATTTCAAAAAGATATATCCTTAAGAATTATATTGAAACATATATAAAAAAGAAATCCAATAATAAAACTGTCATCTAAAAATGATCGCAGTCGAATGGCTTGAAGCTAAGGGATTTATCAACCAAATCAAATAAGATAATATAGTCAATTTGTGAGAGGTTTCCCCAAACGGAAGCGTTGTTTGATATCGGCAGGCAAACAACACCATCACCTACATAAAAGTTGAGCAATGCTTTGGGCGAGAGCTGAACGACGGCGCCCCCGGCAAAATGTGCGGCCACCGTGGGAAACACTTCCGCGGCTATGTCAGATGCATTGTAACAAAGTTTATAATATGTGCCTCCGGTTGGGTCACTCACCGGGGTGCTCTTCACCACACTTCTCAACTCGTTTATCAACGCATCGTGCAACTCATTTGGGAGATAAGTTAGAGTGGACCCCGAGTCGACCACCATTCCGCCGGTCGACCTATTCAGGGGCTTGCTAAGCACCGTTTTCCCTCCGACACTAAAGTTTTCTAACGTGATCCAGTAGTACCCGTATTTCGTGTCGGCTATAGGCGTTGAAACGACTCCGTCCGGGTCTGCGATCACAGCGTCAGAGTCGAATGCGATGTGGCTCGAGACATTAGCATCTAAATACCACGGAAGGCAATACATGAACCTCCCAATGTTGGCCTGTGTGATGAAGGAAATATTGTCATTGCCGAGGCCAAATATTCCGTTGGTCACTTGCGTGTTTACTAAAGAGTTATTGAATCCACACCCGAACACGAAATTCGAGAAGGACGTGTCACCGATGGCAAGAGTCTCGTAAGCTAAGTCTCCATGGGTGTACGACGCATCCATATAGCTGTAGTTATAATGACATAGGTTGGTAGAGGTGTCGCATGAATACCAGCCACCCTCCAGACATATCGGGGTGTCACACGGCAACCTCGTGTAAGACGAGCTCATTGACGGGTCGAACAAAGGCGTTTTCTGCGGGAAGCACAAGCCCGGACACGGCTCGCATTGTATCCACCGCTGCGAGCCTCTCTACCGGGGGCGTCCCAATTGAGAATTTCATGGCGTAGTATCCGACGGCGTACTCAAGATCACCTGCAAACTCACCCATTGCAGAGCCGGGGAGGCCCTGAGTAGTAGTGGCCGCGCGTCGCTTCATTCTGGCGACGCGCGATTGGGATTGGACAAGAGCGCCCTTTGCATACTCAGCCCTGGGCGTAGAAGGGTCGTAGAAAGGCGAGTTTAGAGCATTGGTGTGGATGATATCAACAGTGAAACTGTGGCTTTGAACACAAAGGGAGGCAAAAATACTAAACATCACTTTAATGGTTTCTAAAGTTGCCATGTTTTTTAATGAGAACTTAATTTAGATTTCTTCGATTTTGTGTATAGCACTGAAAAGTTAGTGCATTGATTTTAATTTTTTGTTTTATGGGTTGATGAGCTATGTGTTATTTATACATTAACCAATTTATTATCTATCCTTGAATACATTAAACAAACATACGTTAAGGTTTGTTGACGGAAGTTGCTCCCACAATGACGCTCGGATTGAATGCATGCATGCATTATTATTTGCAACAGTACCATGTTTTCCTTAAAAAAATGCATAATTGAAAGAAATAGAAAGAAATTCTAATTTTAGCTATAAATTAAAAAATCATTCTTGTTGTGTACTTGTGTTTAAGTTAGTATAAGTTAGTATGTTATAAATTTAAATATAGAATGTTTTTATATATTTGTCATACATAAATAGCTTTTTATTAAGAGAAATTTATTTAAATAATACTTAACATAATGACTTTTTCTAAAGAGAACCACATGTGTTTTTCTTCCCAATGTAACACTTTTAGTCATTATGCATTAGTCATTATCCAAGTAAATATTCACTATCACAGGACATTATGGTCATTATTAAGTGCTATTTAGATAATAAAACAATTTAAGTGCTATTTAGGAAAATGTATTAAGTTTTACTGCTATTTAGTGCAAATATTTCATTTATTAAGTCGCTAGAACAAATTAAAAAGAGTTAGAATAGATGAAAAAAATTAGAAAAAGTTAGAAGAAATTAAAAAAAATAGAAATTACGGAGTAATTTTTATAACAAAAAAAGAAAGAATTTTAAATGGTGTTTAAGTAATCAATGGGGTTGCATTTTTTCTAAGGAAAACGGGTACGGTTGCAAATAATAAGTGAAATTTTCACTAAATAGGATTAAAACATAAGTCATTTTTTAATATATGAAAATTAAACTTTTTTATTACCTAAATAATACTCGCTCCATCCCAAAAAGCCCTTCACGTTAAAAAAACTGTTTCTATAAAAGTCATTCTCATTTATATTAAAAAACTGTTTTTACCTTTTACTTTTTTATACCCTACCTATTATATCATACGGAGTATTTTTTTGTAATAATCGACACATCACATCTTAATTTTACGCATCACGTCAAGGGTATTACTTAATAATGTCTAGTGGGAGGAATAATGCCTAGTAGAGTAGTGGTGGAAATTCACTTTGAATAATGACTAATGAATAATAACCAATGACTCTAAATTAAGAAATAAAAACATATGGTCTTATATTGAGAAATTCATTATTTTTTAATATTTAAATAAATTTCCCAAATAATAATGCATTCAGGCATGCATTCAATCCGGGCGTTATTCTGGGAGCACCTTCTATTAACAAAACTAAACGTATGTTTGTTTAATGTATTTAAGGATAGATAATAAATTGGTTAATGTATTAATAACACGTACCCATAAAACAGAAAATTAAAATCAACGCACTAACTTTTCACTGCTATACACAAAATCAAAGAAATCTAAAGTTCTCATAAAAAAACATGCATGGTAGATTTAAAATCTAAATGTCATTATTCAACTAAATCTCTAACATCACTTGGACATTATTCTTTTCACTAGTCATTATTAAGTCCAAAAAATATCACTAAATGTCTAACATCACTAAATGCCTAAAAAAAGGTCAATTCAAGTCAAGCCCAAAAAATATCTAGCCTCCCCAAACCCAACAAACAGTATCTAATGAGAATTCCTTTGACTACAAGCCACATTTCATCACCTCCTTCTATTTCCACATTAGCCTCTCTAATCATCGACTGTCATAACATGATTGGAGGAGGCACAAGTTAGACATCTAAGAAAGCACCAAATGGAGATTTTCTCCTAAACTCTTTTAGGGGATCGCGCCATGGGCGGATGAGTCTCCTTCAATTGTAAACTTTCATAATTACTTAGAAATCATGTATAAATAGAGGGGACTCGAATGGCAATCCTCAAGCTAAATCAAGCAAATAAAGCCTACAATTCATTGAGTTCTTGTTCATTATTATTTCTTTCGATCCTTCATTCTAAGTCGGATCATTTGGTGGATTTATTGTCCATCACATGGGTTTGAAACTTAGCACTACTCAATTAAAAAAATCAAAATTTTACATGCAAGGATCAAATCGACCATGCCTACATGTAAGGAGACATGTTAAAATATTCCTCCACCCGTCTTAATTTAGGTTGCATGTTTACAGTTCTAATGTTTAAAGTTTAATCACTTTTTTTCCTCATTTTTGTTACACGAATGAAAAAATAATATACACACCTCACTTCCTGTTTTGTAAATATTTTAATATAATCTTGGGTAATTTACCTAATAAGGACTAAAACATAATAACTTTCTCAATATAGGACCATATGTTTTTATTTCTCAATGTAGGACCATTGGTCATTATCTATTAGTCATTATTCAACTAAATGTCTAACATCACTGGGACATTATTCTCCTCACTAGTCATTATTAAGTCCTATTTAGAAAATAAAAAAGTTTAAATTCTATATTGAGAAATGACTTACTCCCTCCGTCCCAGAGTATTCGTCCAGTTTTGGCTTTTGGAACTGTTCATTTAACCACTTTGACTCATCAAATTCTCTCAATGTGTAAGCCTAAATATAGTCATGTGTGATCTTGTTTGATTTGTCTTATCATATACTACCTCCGTCCCATTGTCTTTGTTCAGTTTTGACTTTTGGAACTGTTCATCTAAGCACTTTGACTCATCAAATTCTCTCAATGTGTAAGCCTAAAAATAGTCATGTGTGATCTTGTTTGATTCGTCTTAACATATAGATTATTAATATATAATTTTTATAATTTTTTAATATACAAATTACAAGATAAATTGGATTAAAGAAGTGCATTGGATGGTGTGCCAAAAGGTAAGTGGACAAAGACAGTGGGACGGAGGGAGTAGATTATTAATATATAATTTCTATAATTTTTTAATACACAAATTACAAGATAAAATGGATTAAAGAAGTATATTGGATAGTGTATAAAAATGTAAGTAAACAAATGCTCTGGAACGGAGATAGTATGTTTTAGTCCTATTCAATACAAATTTCACTATAATCTTCGAATATTTAAATTGTATTTTGAAATTCTACTCTAATTTTTTATATAAATTAATTTAAAAATAACTTTACTTAAATATCATAAAGAATAACGTTTAACTTAGAATACCATTCTAAAGCATGACCTTTTTGGTTGGTTGAGACCGTTGAGTTGTTCATTGTTTCAGACACTTTCAGTCATGAATGTACTACTCCATTCCGGCCGTGAATGTTAAATGCAGGGGCGGAGCCAGTAAGGAGCAACTGACGGCAATTGCACCCACTGGAATTTTTGGCTAAACCTAAAACGACGTCGTTTTAGGGGTTGGACATAAAAAATCAGCTGCCAAATACTCCTCTTCCGGCTCTTCGTTTCTCCACCCCCATATATCCTATCCTTAAATCTCAAATCTCAATTCTCCCTTTCAATTTGTGTTTTTTTAGCATCTACCAATCCATAATCTGCGATTAATCTCTCAATCTCCATCGGAAATTAATCTGCAATTCAATCTCCTAGGGCGATTAATCTTCAATTTGTAATTTCAGACACCGGCGGGCAACGAAGTGACGGACCTATTCAGTCGGTGGTCCGGTAGTGCTGAGACGGCGGAGGGGCGGTTGGCAATTGGTTCGTCACTCTTCAAGTCCTCAAATTTACCAGGTTTTATCTTATTTTTAAAAATTAAAAAGATGGGTTACTGATTTTTTTATTTTTCTTATTATTTTATTCAAAAAGATGATTTATGTTTGATATATTCTGAGAAATTAGCAAAAACAGAATGTGTGGATTGTTGAGGACATCACAAAGATGGTAACTTTTTTTCGGAGTGTAGATTGATTTTAGTAAAAAAAAATGTTGAAACTCTTCACAGAGTGGTAAAAAGAAATTATGCAATTTTGGTATTTTAGCTGTCCTTTTCCTTGCCTCTTTTGTGTAGTGTAGCTCCTTCAGTAACATATTCTTCTATGTAGAATCTGAATTATTCTTTTGGCTTTTCTTGTGTAGATAAATTAGTGGATAAAAATCATGTCTTTTGATTGTTTTTTAGGTTGTCTCTTGTTCTTGACTTGGGATTAGCTTCTCTGCTTAATCTAGATTTTGAGCTTCATTACCATTTGACAGTATAAATAGATCCTTTCTGTCAAAATGCTTGGTAAATTGTTTGTTCATTCATGCTAACAATTTAATAGTGTACATTAATTTATTTGTCCTTAATTTTTTCTCGCCCCCACTCTATGAATTTCCTGGCTCCCCCCATTTAACTTAAATGCAGAGTATCATTGTGCATCTTTGGCAGATGTAATTAAAGGAGATGAGGATATGATCAATCCATCACCAAGAGAGTTGGCCAGAATCGTCAGTAACACTTTGATCACGGCGGCGAAACAAGTTGCCCCAAGTCAGAAATGGAAGTGGACGCCGCCGCTGGAGCAAGCTTTGCACCGCCTTGGGTGCCGGCGGCTTCTCAGCCCGGCGTTGGTTGCCGGCGTGATCGACCCGCACCTCCTCCATCACCACTCCATCGCCCTCGGCTTCTTCGACTGGTCGTCCCAGCAACCCGGATTTTCTCACGACTTATCCTCATACCAGTCGATCATCAAGGCCCTCTCCCGTTCCCGCGACTTCAATGCCATTGAAAGGCTCTTTAAGCAGAGCAAATCCCAGAAGCTCGTTCTCCCGCCTCATGTTTATTGCGCCGTCATTGCTTCTCAAATCAGCTGCAAGAAAATTCAAATGGCGTTTTCCACTTTCAAAGAGTTTGGTTCGTTGATATCTGGAATCGGACCTCACACTTGCAATTCACTCCTTGCCGCGATGTCCTCTGAAGGAGATCTACTTGGCGCCCGAAAGGTGTTCGATGAAATGACTCTTAGAGGCGTTCAGTTGAACACGGTTGGTTTTGGTGTCTTTGTGTGGAACTTCTGTCGCAGTAATGGACTGGAAATGACTTTGAATGTGCTAGAGGATGTTCAGAGGATTGATTTTTCGGGAATCAACGGGTCTGTTATTGCAGTTTTAGTTGTTCATGGGCTGTGTTCTTGTAATCTTGTATCTGAGTCTTTTGTGGCATTGGAAGAGTTGAGGAAAAGAGATTGTAAGCCAGATTTTATGGCGTATAGAGTCGTCACAGAAGCATTGAGGGAAATGGGTGATGTGGTTAATGTTGAGAAGGTTTTGAAGAAAAAAAGGAAGCTGGGGGTTGCCCCAAGATCCAATGATTATAAAGAATTCATTTTTACCTTGATTTCAGAAAGACTAATATCTGAAGCAAAAGAGTTGGGAAAGGTAATTATGAATGGGAATTTCCCAATGGACAATGATCTGCTCAATGCTCTGATTGGATCTGTTTCATCTGTTGATCCTTGTTGCTCCATGCTGTTCTTTAATTTCATGGTTGAGAAAGAAGTATTTCCCACACTTGTTACTTTGAACATGTTGGGTAGGAACCTCTGCAGGCATGGCAAAGCTGAGGTGCTGGTTGAGGTCTTTCAGAAATTTTCTGCCAGAGGATATCTCAGTGATGCACAAAGCTATAAAGTGATGGTTTCACTTTTGTGCGATGCAGGTAAGGTAAAGGAAGCTTATGGCCTTCTCGGCGAGATGAAAAGAAAAAGTTTAAGTGTTGACGTATCCTTTTACAATTCACTTCTAGAAGCCTGCTGCAGAGGAGACATGTTGCGGCCTGCAAAACGGCTGTGGGATGAAATGTTTGCAAATGGCTGTCCTGGGGATATAAAGACATACAACATCCTCATCCAGAAGTGTTCAGAAGCCGGCGAAGTTGAAGAAGCCTACAGGCTGTTTCAGCACATGTCTGAGAAAGGGATTGCACCGGATGCAACAACTTACAAATCCATTCTTGAAGGGATCTGTCAAGCCAAAGATCTCACCTTGGCTCTTAATGTGTTCAATACATGTGTTGCTCAAAGTAGTGTCATTACGAGGGACATTTTAGGTTCATTTGTCCTCTGTCTTTGTAAGGAAGGTGTGGCTTTCAACATGTTACCATAAACAAGTCCTCTATTCGTTGTTCTTGACGAAACACGTACTTGTTTAACATCCATGTTTTGCTCTTTTGTGTTTTTGCAGGTTATGTGCTTCCTGCTTTGGAATTGCTTCATGGCTATGTCAATGATATTGCATATCTGGACTCCCATCTTGCAGTGTTGAAATTTTTAACTGATGCTGGGGAGGCTTCACTGGCTCTCGAACACTTGAAGGGGATTAAAGACAATTCTCCTTTCATGTTACAAGCTCTTCAGAATGAGATTCTATCTTTATCAAGACCAGATTTGATAATGAAGCTGTTTAAAGCAGTGCAGGAAACTGTCTAGTAGTAAGTACTGCAGTACTTTGAAGTTCAGGACTTTGCACTTTGAGAACAAAAGGAAGCGAGCATTTGAGGATTTTATAGGGTTCAGTATTGTTAGATGTTCATTGTTCCAATTGATTGATATATTCAAAGTTATGTTTTTAATGTGAAAAATAATCTCTTATGTATTTCAATAGCCAAAGTATCATAAAATGACCAATAAGATTCAAATTCTTTATTGTTTTTTCTCGTTTTTGGGCTGGTCCGGTCTATTCATGGACAGTTTCATTCCCAACAATATCTTTTCATCTCACTTCCAAATTAAATTTCATTAAATTTTATTTGGTTCCGCCAAACAAGCCTTAGAGCTACAATTAGAATTCCCATTTAAAGGCATTAATTATTAGTCCTAATAAGTACTCCTTAATAAAGAATGCAACATCGCATTCAATCTGTGTTCAAACCTTGATCCACATGCTATCTATAATTCTGTTTGGGTGTTATGTTCAATGTGATGCGATGAGTAGGTTACAAATTAATATACGATGACTCGATGAGTGTGTTACAAATTACTACTAATATACATCAAAGAATATTTTTGAAAAAGTCAACACAAAAATATCTCTCTTTTAAATTTTTAAAAAGTCACAATGAGAACATCTTTATGAGGAGGAAGTATATAACTTCATCCCAAATTAATCTTAACTTATGAGAAGAGAGACTTTTTTCGTCTCATATTCCTTTTTAAAAAAAGAAAATAATGATTATTTTAAGACAGAAAAAAAGAAAGAAAGAAATATTTTGAGACATTGGGAGTAACCCTCGATCAAGAGGGATAAATATAGATTATGTAGTTTCAAATGTAGACTTTTCTGTAACAGAAAAACAAAAAATAGGGAATATGAAATATTTTGTGGAACCGAGCAAGTATGTTAAGTCTAAAGTAAAACGTAGGAACTTTATTCAATGTGATAGTTAGTTTCTTGTGTGCTCTAAGTATATGGGTGACATCTTTTTAACTTATCAAGATTATAACCTGATTTATCTACATTATTCTCTTCACCTAAAATTTGCTTCTAATTCAAATTGTTTTGAGAAAATCTTCTTTCAAACACAATCTCTCTCCCCTCCCTCTCTCCCTCTCTCTCAACCATATTTTTCCCAACTGCAAACCATTCCTCAAATTTTTGAGAGAGAGAGAGAGAGGTACCTACGCCTTACATGCAGCTTACATATGATTGCCATGAAAAAGAACAGCACTTGAAACTCCCTCAGTCACCATCTAAACGATGCAATCTTTAGACAACCCCGGAGTCGATTTGGAAGCCGGTAGTGGCGGAGACGGTGGCGGGCCCCGCCGCTCAACCGCCGTGGGTTCCGGGAGCAGCTCCGACGACGCGGAGGCGGCGCCGGATGATAAATCTCAGCCGCCGCCGAAAGAGGAGGCAAAAGCAGAGAGGAGTTGCAGAATCTGCCAATTGGGGCTGGAAGGGGAGAGTCAAGAATCTGTTGGGGTGGTTTTTGAATTGGGCTGTTCTTGCAAGAATGATTTGGCTACTGCCCATAGACTGTGTGCTGAGGCTTGGTTCAAGATTAAGGGCAACAGGTTTGTTCTAATTATGCAATCTCTATCATTTTAGCGTGTTACGGTTTTGGATATAATTTTATTAGTGTAAATTAATTTTGAAAACGCTACCGTTAAACGCAATTCTTACGTATTTTTTCAAAATGCTAATACTGGAATATAAAATGGTTTCCAAACTTACCACTAGTGAGTATTGTTTTATTTTCACTTTGGTTATTTCATTTGAGCACCCTACGCTATTCTATTTGATCCTAAAAAAGTTCATACTGTTAAAATCCTCCGGACTTTGTTTGGTACACAAAATTCAAACTATGAATTTGGAATTGAAGATAACAATTCCAGTTATACTGTTTGGTAGCACAAATATATGTGGATTAAGAATTGGTAGTAGCAAAAATGAATTGAAATTGGAAAGTTCAATTATTCCATCCAAATTATTTTCATAGGATTACAATTTTCAATTGAATTCCAATTCCGTAATTCATTCTATCAAATTTTTTATGGGTTAGTGAGTATATGCAGATTTTAAGTTACTCCAAGAATGTGATTTATCCCTTTTTTTTTTGAACCGTCCGTTCCTAATCTTTTAAATCTGTTTTTGTTTATAAACTCTTTAATTTGTTTAGTGGTATAATAATTGCTTCAATACTGCCAAAAGCGCAAATGGAAAATGATTTATATAATGCTCTCTATCTTTTAAAAAGAATATAATGTCACAGCTCAATACTTAAAAATTACATAAACTTTTATTCATTCATCCGTTTCCATCTAGTATTTTATTAAATAAAATATTCTTTTCATCTCTTGTTTTAAAAAAATACATTTGACTTATTTTTGTAAATATGTAAATTTTAATTTTTACTTCTTTATCAATTTTTAAAGAATATAAATTAAGAAACTTAAAATTTTGTTTCGTTTTCGTAATTTAACATTCTTTTTGAAAAGAGAGTGATATTGTGTACCACACATTAAAGAAATGGCTTTGGGTCCTAGTCGAAGTTTTTTAAAACGGAAAAAAATCAATCAATTAATTATGTGCATATGGATTATGGAGGAAATAATATGCTACGTATTAGGCAAATCCTGTTAGATTGGACATCATATGCTTGCCCAATTTATTTATTATTCTTTTTTTTTTCTTCCCGAAAGTTTATACTCCTTCTTTCTCTTCTTCTTCACATTAGGTACGCTTAAATAACATAAAATTTAATGTCATTAGTTTCATTTGTAAAATAAATTGACACCCTTCCAAAGTATTTGTCATGTTTTAATTGATAGAAGAACCAATTTTATTAGATTTGATCATTAATTGAATCAAATTTAGATTATTAATTGATAGAAGAACCAATTTTATTAGATTTATCTTTTAAAAAAATTCAATATGGTTATTTGCCTTATTAATATTACGTGTAATTTTTAATTTAATTATAGGTCAAAAATTAGTCCAGGTTAACTAAAAAAAGTCAAAATTGGATAAATATTTTGAGATTTGGTGTCCATACTCCCTTTTTCCCAAAATTGAAATAATTTTTATGGAGCCTACCATACCTCTTGATAACTATTACTCCCTCCGTCCCGCTATATTCGTCCACTTTTGGCTTTTGGAACTGTTCATCTAAGTACTTTGACTCATCAAATTCTCTCAATGTATAAGCCTAAATATAGTCATGTGTGATCTTGTTTGATTTGTCTTAACATATAGATTATTAATATATAATTTCTATAATTTTTTAATATACAAATTACAAGATAAAATGGATTAAAGAAGTGTATTGGATGATGTGTAAAAATGAAAGTGGACAAATACTCTGGGACGGAGGGAATAATCATTAACAATGAATGTGATTACTTATTACCAAAACTAGTACTCACTCCGTTTAGAAAAATATTTTCTTTTTCATTTTTTTCCTATCAAAACACTTCTATTTTCTTTTTAAAAAATTATTTTTATTCTTACTTTTTCATGATCTACCTATCACATCATATTTTTTAAAATGGAAAATATTTTCAAGAACGGAGAGAGTAATATTTTAAATTTCAAGTCTCATACCTGTTTGAAATTGTAATTTCTAAATTGACATTCTATGATTCAATTCCTTTAATGAAAAATTCCTGAAAGTCAAAAGCAAACACTAGCGGAATAAACATTTTTCCCATATATATCAATGGCATATATTCGAAAAGATTCAAGAGTTATTACTACCTATCTCTCAGTATATATGTTTGGTTTAATTTTTTGAGTCAAATTGAACGTATGTAAGCTTCAATCACTCTTAATTTTTATTGCATATTAATATATAAAATGAAACACAATTCTAAAAATTCTCAGCATGATAAATCTAATAGTATCATTTTATACTGATAGAATTTAGGATGGGGTATGGACAACTGAATTGGGCAATAAGACACTTGGGTTGAACCACATTAAAAGATTGAATCCAATCGATTAGTTAGTTCAACTCTAGAGCTTATATACCGATTATTTTACTCATAGATTTCCGATGTGGGATGTACTCTAACACTCCCCCTCAAGTGGACAACCGGGCCATTTTGAATCTAACCGGTTGACCACTTGCAAATGAACTCCCATTCCCTTGACTTTTTTTTTATAGCGCCAACACCTAAAGGACCACGAGCCGCTGGGTATGAACTTCCAGACGAGCAATCGTGTTAAACAGGCCACAGACAGTTGGGTACAACCTCCATACGGACAACTGGGCTAAAGACTAACGGACCGCTAGGAATGAACGTCTAGACGGACACCTTGACAAACGAGATGGGCTAAAACTGGCTCTGATACCATGATAGAATTTAGGATGGGGTATGGACAACTGGATTGGGCAATAAGACACTTGGATTGAACCACATTAAAAGATTGAATCCAATCGATTAGTTAGTTCAACTCTAGAGCTTATATACCGATTATTTTACTCATAGATTTCCGATGTGGGATGTACTCTAACATATACTAAAATATATTGCAATTTTTATTCAATTGAAGCTTAAATTTATCGAGTTTGATTCAAAAAAGTCAAATTAGACTAATGCGCTAAGTCGTAGGACTTATTCTTTTATGTTAAAATTTTAGAGTTGGATGTTAGAAAAAATTAGAAAGAGTTAGAAAACCTGGAAATACTCGAAGAAATTTAAAAAATGTTGTAACAATTAAAGTGTTAAAAAATAATCCAATTAAATGATCACTCAAATAAATATGTTAGAAAACTCTAATTTTGAATTTAAAAAATTAATCGTTTCCGTGTTTGAGTTGACTTATTATAAATTGTTAGAAGTTGAAAGAAATGGGAAAGAGTTAAATGTTCGAAGAATGAAAATATTAAAAAGCCAATCAATTGAATGATTATCGAAATAAATATGTAAGAAAATTCTAATTTTAAATAAAAAATCATCATTGTTCTTGTTTGATGTGGTATATTATAAATTCAGATATATAATGTTATTGTATATTCATCGTTTACAAATAATTTTTTAAAGTCGTTGGAAGAAACTGGAAAAAGTTAGAAGAAACTGAAAGCAATTTAAAACTTTGAAAATTAATCTTTTCAATAAAAAACAAGGTCTTAGTGTATTAAAAAAAACTTAGTCTTTCAAGGACCTCGTAGTCCGATTACAACGATATGGCTCTTCCGAAAGAGCAGTTTATTTGTTCAATTCTCGATGGAGGCAAGACTCTATGAGCTTCAGTTAGTTGAGAATGTATGAACAGATAACACCATGTAGCAGAGTTATTAGTGTTAAAAAAAGTTAACCTCTAGCAATATTTATAAACTAACCCGCGTTAAGTATTGCTCAAAGTTCAAAACAACAAGAATGAAAGAAGTATGAAAACCTTCAAAAAGGAAAAAGGAAACGTTACTCCCTCCGTCTTAAAACTTTCTTCCCAGAGCACTATTCCAACTTCACGGGAAATTATATTTATTTGTGTTTTTTCATGGCCTATATGATAAAATAAAATATTCTTGTCACCACTTGTATTGTTGAACTTTTGATGTAGTTTTTAAATATGTATGTTTTATTTTTTATTTCTATGCCAATATTTAAATAAAATAAATTGAAAAAATTTGGGATTTTTTTTCGTTTTGCGCAACCGAAAAAAGATATAGGACAAGAGTATAAAGGAGCGTGGGATCACGACATATTTTCCGTAAAGATGACAAGGAACGGCACGTCGTAGGTCAGGTGGCGTCGGTTGCCTTGCCCTCAAAATTAAAAATTCCCCTATTTACCCCCCCTTTCCCTCCCCTCTCTCCCCCTTTCTCTTCATTCCATTCCCCTTTTTTTTTCCCTCTTTCTCTTCATTCTATTCCCCTTTTTTTCCCTTTCCCTTTCCCTCTCTGCGAAGGAATTAACACTGAGTGTACGAGATCGATGAGGACACTTTGCCCGAATCTCGACCGGGAAGACGGGCTGGAGACGGTGCTGGAAGTCCCCATACCGGAGGAGATGTTCCCCGGCAACAAGGGCTCCGGCCGCCACCCGTGGCAGTCCATGATGAAGTCTTGGATGAAGCCCCAATCCGCCCCCTCCTCCGTCTTCGGCGGCCGCACCGCCCAGATTCAGCTCCTTCTCAGCGTCGCCGGAGCCCCCCTCGTCCCCCTCACCATTCCCTCCGACCACTCTTGCAACTCCAAAATCAACGATCACCCCATCGTAAGTAATTATAACCTCTTCAACATCTATACCAATAATTTCATTTTGTTTGAACATTTTTCATCATATCCCAAAAAATTGTAGCCTAAATGTCCCTCACGTGCAAGCGTGACATCTTTAAACGAAATTTTATTTAAAAAAATTTGGGTGACTGAATTTTAAACTCGTGACTTCTTGATCATCATGACTCTGATATCATGTCAAGGAATCGATCCAACAAAAAACTCAAGCTTGTGGTTGTAATGTGCAGGAGGCATCAATGGCGAAGTACATTGTGAAGCAGTACATAGCGGCGGCGGGAGGGGAGGAGGCGATAAGCGGAGTGGAGAGCATGTACGCAATGGGGAAGGTGAAGATGGCGGCGTCGGAGTTCACGCCGGGGAGCGGGGAGGGCGGCGG